TTTCCATATTTTTATAGCGCGTTTGAGTTTGTAGTAAGAAAAATATCGCCGGTTAAAAAATGAAAGCGATCGAAAACCGCTTAAAACAGGCCAAAAATGTCGGTTATTTTGTATTTGAAGCTACAAACGGGTTTTTTAATTAATACTTACATTCCTCGTTTCATTTCATTGAAAATTATATGGATTAAAAACTTTTGAGATAACTTTTATTTTTTTGAAATTTTCGGTGAAAAATAAAAATGTTACTAGTATGTTGTTTAAGTTCAGTGGATTGATTGCGAGATTGATTTATAACATGTTTGAGTCTGTAGTAAGAAATGTCGGTAATTATTTCCAAATATTTCTGGTCTTAATGACAAGGTTTTCTTGGATATTCTGAACTATTTTCGCTCCCTGCCTCTTCTGGCTTCAAAAGACTCATATATTTGCAATTAGATATGGTGACAAGCATTGCCATTTCAATTCTAAAATAAGTACACGAAAGTACAGCAGATTGCAGTTTGGTAACCAGAGTGAGTTGCCCTGAAGAAATATTCTTAAGTTAATTAATTACTTGGCTCAAATCAGCCAGTTGCAATACGATCACTAGGCACTCGGTTTGAAACTTGCTGTTGATTTCCAGTAAAATTAGCAAATAATAATTGGTTTGTGCTTCTAATTAAGAAAATAAGTGGAAATTAATTCGATGGCATCATCTAATTTTACTGCACATTTTCCCAACCCCCAGCATGTGCGATTGAAAAGCCCCTCGCCAAAAAACAAAACCAGCTGACTTTAATGAACATAATCATCGCACTTCACACTGAAGTCGACCCCTGCCTGGAGAGTTCTGCCTCTCTTCATTCAAAACCGTTTTTTTCTGGGCCTGTGCCTTTGTTTCGATCACGCACAATTTTGATTCTTTAGGCGGGACGCACGACTCTTTTCAAGGGTAATTTAATCATAAAAAAGCGAGGGAGAACGACTTTGTTCTAATTTTAAATGAATTGGCTTCAGTGTGATTGTGTGCATATTAATTAGAATTTTGGGCGTTGGTTGAACGGCCGCGATTTAAGAATGGCTCTAATGTGGAGTAGTAATTGTGATGGCACGAAAACCATTCCCAAAGTCGCGACGAGACGCACAAAAGATAAGACGATGCAAAAAATTGCGGTGGAAATTGCGTCCTTGAACTTGGCCTAGCTTTCTCCAGTCAGGTCCAATTAGCGAATCTTAGTGGAAAGAGGGATGGAAAAAATTAGACATCAACTAGGAGCGGGTTAATTGCATGGAAAAACTACCACGAAATGACCGGTTTTATTCAATTCGCCGTTGAATGATTGCAGACCACCACCTAGCAGGATAATTTCAGCAGTTGGCAATCGGTGCAGATAATCGTAATAGGCTAGACGGGCACCAGACTTAAAGCTAGCCTCAATTACAATTGCGTAGGTTTTCGTCAAATGGAAGTTGCAAAAAATCGTATTTTTGTTTCAGACGAATCAGGATGCGAGGCTGACATGGCCGAAGGCAGCGTGGAGGAAGACAGCGGTGAAATGTTGGGTCCCTCTGGGGCCCCCCCTATGCCAATGCACACCCCTTCGGTACCCACCAATTTATCAATAAAAGATGAGGTAAGTTTAGCAGTAATTTTTGAACAAAAACATATTCAAGCTATCGAAGAAGGCATTTCTGTGTTATGTCGAGTAATGGGGTTTGAAAATGGTTCCAAACATCGGTTTTTCTATTTTGAATTAGATAAATCTCAAAAAATTGATGCTCCTAAATGTGATGTTGATCCCGTGCGCCTACCTAGTTACTACCAGGTATTTTCTGCAGAATTTTCGAGATTTATTAATATTTAATTACACGTTTAATCCATGAGATAAATAAAACCTTAACTGCTTGAAGGAGAAAACATGGCCGAAATCAATTGAGAGTGATTATGTGATCGAGACCAGATAGACCTAACATTCAGTGTTAGTCCTGTAAATTCGACAGTGTTATTTAGACATAACGTTCACGCATGATTTGAGCCTTGAAGAAGACCCCCAATAAATGTCGAAACGTCGGCAAATAATTGAATAGTGACGTTTTTATCAGTGTCCTACACCTGTTACTTTCAACTTTATTTTCCTATTGGGACGCAAAAGCGAAACGAAATTACAATATACATGTATTGTTATATTGTATACATTTATGATTACTGCAAAATGAACTCGGTAGAAAATTTATTTAAAAAAATACTACTCATCGCGTAGTATTAAATTCGATTTTTTAAATTATTTACTGCATTTCCCTGCCAAACGAAATAACTTCTTCTCAAGTAATTTAAAGTGCATTAGTGAGATATTTTTCGGAGAAATTTAGATTTTAAATATATTTTTTCACTTGCTTTCACTGCCATTAATGTTGTCTTCTTTCCAATTTGTTTAAAACTTCTAGGTATTTTTTAGATGTTTAGGGCTCCGATTTTCAGACGTGCTTCATGGAAAACTTGGTAGAATATATGTCAGATGCGTGTATTTGACTATTTTAAACAAAATGATGCCAAACAAATATTATTGACGGTTTAAACCTGAAATGTGTATGTTTCCAGTATTTAAAAAAATGTCTTTTTCACAACCAAAATGTTGTGACAAAAATGTTGAAATTCATTCAACAATCCTCAACTGTACAAAGTAGGTATACAGCATTGTATGCTTTCAGATTGTTGAAAAAAGTTATCCTTGCGTACTGTTTATATTAATTAATTAACACTTTTTCGATAATGATCCGGAAGTAAACACTCAAGACAAGGAACTATGTATTTCACTACATTTAGTTTAACTTTCATCAGGAAATTACTTATTACATACAGTTACATCTGCAATACTGTATTTATTTTAGGCATCGTTAAAATAAACGAATCAACACCTGAATCGTTAATTCCTTGTTTGAAAAATCAACTAAGTATCTAAACATTCTGATCCAGAGCATAATTAAAGGGCAAATTATTGTTAATGTCTGCGATATCGCATCAAACATCAAAAGAAAACTTACAAAGGAATGGTAGAACTTTAAAATCTCCAGTTCTTATCTGGGCTTAATAAGTAGGTTGAGAACATGCGATCCGGCTATAAGTTATTTTATATACCTTCTGTGTGCTAATGCGCAAACTGGCGTTTTTATTATTTGCAGAAATATGTTGATGGGTAAATAAATATTAATTGTAAAAGTTTATGGCTCGTGTGTTGTGGTTTTATGGTTTGATAATATGAATTTTAATTCATCAGTTTGCCGCAACGATGAATCTACCAACGTTTTGTGCAGCAGATCAACAATTTCAATTCAATTTATTAATTTATAGCTTTATCTTGTTGCTTGGCGTAATATCGAAACATGCCAATCAAACGCTAATGGCGATAAGAAAAACACGTTAAATTTATATTTCTATCAGTCGTCAGATACTGATCATCATTTAGCCAGTTCAATTTTCTCCAATTAAAATCTCCGATCTTTAAATTTGTATCAAACAAATAGCACATTAGTCAGCCTTAGTTCGCTTATTTATTTAACAATAAAAGCACGACTGACAATAATAATTATTAATGCATTCGCCGAGCCTAATGTAAGCTATGATGAAATTAGAAATCTGATTTGGTCATATAATTACTATTAGATTTTAATTATTTAATTAACGTATGAGATAATTTACCTTAGAGTTAATGCGCTGTAGAAAGGCAAAGAATTGGCGCAAGTAGGGTATATCCGATTAGAGAGGTGCTAAATTATCGCAGCTCGTTAACGGCAATTTGTAGTTTTTAACTTTTTCTGCACGCAAGCAAATCGATGGATTTTTTCAAAACATTTGCGCCAATCCAGTAATTTCTTTAATCAAGGCAACACTTCAAGGCAGGCGGCGAAACACAGAAATGCACAATTTTCGATACAAATCCTCTCTAAAACCTCATAATGTCGGTAATGGAATATTAATGAATTAAAATTTCATGCAACTGAAATCGTTACATTGCAGCTCAACTATTTCCAATCTGAGAACGTGTTTAATTTGATATTAATTACATACATTGCCACAGCATTTTTCTCTGTAATCTACATGAGACATTTTATACATTTAAATTATAGTATACGTTTCGTTTTAATTATCGTCTAGAATCTTGATATAGGTTAAGTTTGTTTGTACGACATTCTTGGACAATTATCGTTAATGTAATAGCCCTAACCTATCGAGGTTTATTGAGTAGCATATTTTCTAATTGACGAGTAGTCGGAATATGCACTTCAAACACCCCGCTTATTGTTATTTTCCATGCTTTTTTTTACTTTTACTAGGCTTTCATTGCGAAATTTTATGACAACGGTTGTTCATTTCATTAATTTAGCTAGTTTTCCGATTTTTGTTAAATTATTGTTGCCACTTTTATTCAAATTTTTATTTCTTTGACTTTAATGTGACTGCGCCTAGCGATAAATGTCTCAATAATTCGCCAGACAAATTAACTGGAAGAGTTTTAAGCTTTGCAATTTGGATGTCGTCCAAAATTGCGTCTTTCTCCATCAATTGTACTGGAGGAGTTCTTACTGGAAATAATATAATATAACCGGTGAAACCTCTAAAAATCTAGCTCAGCTTCCACATAAAACATCATTGCTGCTCTTATTTTTTCTCAAGCGTTTATTTTCAGTCTAGCTTAGTATTCCAAATACAAGTTTTGCGAATCGTTTAGTGCAACTCGTGCCTAATTGTAATAAGTATAAAAACACACAGAAAGAAAAGAAACTAAAACATTTTTTTAACAACATCAAACAAATTCTAAAGCGGAATTGGTTTTTCTGATGTAGCTAATGTAGCTTCAATCAATAAGCAAAAGCGTCTAGGTTTTTCCCATATTCCTGTGTAGCAAGATGCTGAAGTTTTTAAAAGTTTTTGTTTCCTTCCCTGGAATTTTATCTGTTAATTCCAAAGTCTCTGAGTGAAATTGAATTGACGCACATTTTGCTTCCGAATTGGATCTGAAAAAAAAAAGACGAAAAACCAGACATTTTTACATCGGGTAAGCATGACTAGTTGCTAATAACGCACGTTTAATGATGCAAAAATGTAGATGCTAAAACATGAAACAAAAATTGGTTGAATCTTCAACACCCTGAGACTCGTTGGGTTTAAGGATGTTTGAACATACCTTTTGAAACCGAGAAAAGTGACAACCATATGAACTTTTTGAACATTGCTTATCGCACTTTATCTAAATTCAATTACATACTTTAGAGTCTTAAGCGTCTCACAAGTTCGCTTCGCCTTTGCAAGTGTTTCGTGCATTAGTTCTTGTTTTTCGCTATTTCCGCTCTTGAACGACTCGTTCTCTTTTTCTTTCTTCGCCATTAATTGATTGTTGGCCTAACGTTTCAACTCGCAAGCACACCATTTATCATTTTGCCTGCATATATATTTTTTTGCTGTAAAATTAGTTTAGATCTTGCGTACAAAGCCGTTGAGCTTTATTGTGTGCATGGTTCGCTTAGTCTCGGCTTTCAAATTGCAACCCTGTAAAGTAACCAGTGTTTTCTAGAGATAAGTTGGCAACTGCGAATTGAAGAAGCCCTGGGGATGGTCGTTTTATCCGCCCAACGGCCTCCTTGGCCCCCCTTTCCCGGCCCTTGGGGGCTGTAAGACCACTTTGATGTCCAGTTTCGGAGTTTCGTGTGGGTCGACATAAAGATATAACAATTATGTGGGACTTGGGGATAATTGTTTAGTAAATTGTTTCGTATTCGGTCCTTTGTTTGGATTTTAAACGACTAAAGCCAAGACTTATCGAATAATATTAGCGAAAAGAACTATACAATCCAGTTAATACGAGTGTCACTCATTTGATCCCCATTGGGACTTAATACAAGTTGGTCTCTCACCCTAAACGTTTTGTTTCTGCTTCTTCCCCATTATCCACCGGCTCAGCACATGCGGTGATTCATGCTCTATTATTATTAATAACTATGCAGATTTAAAGATTAATTTTATAGAAAGGGTGAGTTCGAGTTCATTCAGCCGATGCGAAGGGGTTCAAATTTCATCGTTCTGTTTGCACGACTTTCCGAGTTTTAATTCGTCGTCGTTTATTGTACATGAGCAGCCTTTAAATCGGTACTTTTGCTAGATTTTTTCCAACTCGGTTGGGATTTGGCATTGGGAAAATGAACAAAACTTTTCTGCCACAATTAAGGGATTAATTTCAATAAGCGTTGGGCCTTATTATTTATGCACTTTCTATTAACGCCCTGGTAGGTGGGTAGAGGATATCATCAAACGAGCCAAAGTAATCGAATATTTTCAAAAAGTCTGATCGTTCCGTAGTTTCATTTTTATTATTTGCCTGTGCATACGAACTATTCGCAAACGAAGTTAATCTAAATTGCACAAAATTAATTCCATTGTATTTTTCACATTGTCTGTCTCGCTTTAGGTGCATTTTTCATTTTGGCCCTTTTCGTGTACAGGGTACACGCACGAAACTCTGAGAGTTTGGAATTATTTCATTGGAAATGCAAATGATGCAGAGTTAATGGTGAATGGACAGAGATTTAATCAAGCAACACAAGTTTTATGCTGGAAAATTCTTATTTATTAAAGGTAAAA